TCATGAAAGAATACCATTTGAATTATGTTCAAAAAACAAAAGAAAATCTGTACTGGTTCGCTGGGAACCGGTTCCGACCCAGGCAGAACCCGGTTCTTAGTGAACGTTATAACCCAAAATTCAAAAATAACACGCAGGAACCGGTTCCCCTATAGGTACAACCCGGTTCCTGGTACAAATTCCAGGGAAGGGTTTTTTGAACAAGTTTGGAACCCGGTTCCCTGTTAGGTAGGAACCGGTTCCTGAAAGTTTATTTTCAAAAAATCCTTTTGAAAAAGATCTCAAACATAGTTTTTCTTATTGTTAAAAATGTGGGATATGTATATGATTATGAATGCATATTTGTGAACATCTATATTCAAGTTTAAGAATTATTTATACCTTTTGATATTTGTTGTTTCTTTAATAATTCTTCTTCTAATCTTCAAGACTTGTAACAAGGTTTTATATGATATGATAAACTTTTTGCACATCCTTTGAATGTTGATATCCATGTTGTCTTCATCAAAACCAATGCTTTAAACATGACTTGAGAAACTTGCAATTACAGCCTTGAGGCAATTCGACAAGTGACCAAGTGTTGTTGTCTTTGATAGACTTCACTTCTTCGTTCATTACTTTCACCCACTTCAAATCCTTCAATGCTTCAGCTACATTAATAGGTTCGACATCTACATAGAAAGCATAAGTACCAACTCACCTTCATTATCTATCACATCATATGATGTAATCACACAATCTTTCAATCTTGCAGACACACGTATTATTCTTTGAGGTCTGCTAGTACTTGGTTGATCTATAATTGTTGGTTCCTCTTGTCGAACTCCTCTTTCGACTTGAGTTTTTGGTTCTTCAAGTAGGATTCCCACTGAATCTTTATTGACATTTTCAGTCCAATCTCATTCTTTAAGGTCATCTATGATCACATCCCTGCTGATCACAATTTGTTTTTTCACTGGATCAAACAACTTGTAGCCTCCTGTTGAATGATATCCAACTAGAATCATTTGACTTGACTTGTCATCAAGTTTTCTTCTTAACTGATCTGGCACATGTATATGTACAATAGATCCAAATACCTTCAGATGACTCAAGCTAGGCTTCACACCAGACCAATATCATTCTGGAGTAATTCATTCTAGCTTCTTTGTAGGACACCTGTTCAAAATGTATGTTGCAGTCGAAATAGCTTCACCCCAAAACTCTTTAGGTAAATTCTTGCCTTTCAACATACTTCTCACCATATTCATGATGGTTCGATTCTTCCTTTATTCAATTCCATTTTGTTATGGAGTATAGGGTGGCACCACCTCATGCACAATCCCTTCCTTTTCACATAACATGTCGAAGTATTTTGACACATATTCTCCACCACCATCAGTTCTCAAAATTTTGAGTTTTCGACCATAGACTTGAACTTGGAAAATACCTCAATCACTTCACTTTTCTTCTTGATCAGGTGAGTCCACAACTTTCGACTGAAATCATATATGAATGTAACTTCAAGAATAGCCTTCGACCTGCTTCTTGCATCCTTGTTGAAGCTATTATTGTGTTGCTTCGCATGCACACATTCCTCGCGTACCTCATTTGGAATGTTGATTTCTAGCAATCCTGAAACCATATTTCTTCTCTTCAAGTCTCTGATGTCTCTGAAGTTGAGATGGCCTAGTCGATAATTCCAGATCCATTCATCTCTGCTAGCTGCAGTCGAATGGAACTTGTGCTTCATCACATTTAGTTTGATCTTAAAGGTTCGATTCTGAGACATAGGAGCCTTCAATATTAATCTTCCATTTGCATCGATGACTCTCATCATCTTATCTTTGATTGACACTTTATAATTCTTTTTGACCAACTGCCCTATATTGAGAAAATTTCTCTTCATGCCTGGTATGTACAACACATTGGAAATTACTGACCTCTTGTCATCTTTCCTCATAATCATAACATCACCAATACCTTCAGCTGCTAGGGTGTTGTCATTTGCAAATTTTACCATATTTTTCATTGAGGGCTTTATGTTGACAAACCAGCTTTTCCTTCCAGACATATGTGATGAGCATCCTGAGTCTAAGTACCATCGGTCCTTGAATTTATCTTCATCTCTTGTTGTGACCATCAGCATCATCTCTTCTTCTTCATGTTTTGCAAGCTTTGCATCACTTTCTTGATTATTTCATTTTTCTGGACAACCACCCGAATAATGACCATACTTCTGACAATTATAATATTAAATGTGACTCTTATCAGGTTTTCGACCACCACCTCTTCCTCTATTTGCAACACCACCTCTTTGGTTGCCTTGGTATGGTCTTCTTTGATTCGAAAAGTTTTCTTCGTTCTGGTTTCCTCTACCATTCGATTTGTTGTATCCGCCTCTACCTCTGTCGAAACATTTTTCTTTTCCTTTGGTTTCTTTTGCTGAATGTGCCTGCAAAGCCATATCACTCTTCGATTTGCCTGCATCTCTTTCATTCATTCTTTGTTCATGAGATTCAAGGGTCCCTTGAAGCTCTTCCTTTGTCAAATTCGACAAGTCTTTCCCCTCTTCTATTGCCACCACTATATGGTCGAACATAGAAGCTAAAGATCTCAAAATCTTTGAAACAACAACTCTTGTTGTTAATGTTTCTCCACATACCTTGATTTGATTTACTAGTTTTGTAACTCTAATGAAGAAATCAAATATGCTTTCACTATCTTCCATCTGAAGAAATTCGTACGTTCTCTTGTGAGTCTGTAATCTCACTTCTTTCACATTTTCTGCACCATCAAAGGAATTCTCAAGAACATCCCAAGCTTCTTTTGCAGATTCTGAATCACTTACCTTTTCAAAGTTTTCTGCACTCACACATTGATGAATTATAATTAGTGCTTTATAACTCCACTTCTCAATTTCTGTGTGTTTCTTCTTTTCTTCTTCTGAAACGTTTTCTCCAAGCACTTCGACTCCATCTTTTACAAGGTTCCAAAGCCCTTGACACATGAACAACACTTTCATCTGTTTGCACCAATTCTCATAGTTGTCTACTTTCAGAATTAGTAGAGTTGCTGGATAATTTACATTCCCATAATTCGCCATCGTGAATTCTTCAATCGTTCTTGATTGATACTTCCCTTGAATTGAAACTGAGCTCTGATACCAAATGTTGGAAATTTACCAAATATCTATGATGAATTTCTCCTCAATGACAATGAATTATAAGAACGAAAAGAAAAGAAAGAAGACAATTATTTTCTGTAGAGTTTTTCTCTGTCCACAAACCGTGGAAAACTTTGTTATTCACTTGCAACTGCAAATTCTATTAATACAACTTAATTGACTTTTAAAAAAAAATAGGGGTTACTCCCTCTATTTATATATTTAGCTTGCACCCTAAGTATAAAACTATAAAAGCCCAAAATACATATTTTGGTACTAAATCAAATCTATTCATATCAAATCTATTTAAATATAAAACAAATCTAATCTTTTCGACGCTATAAATTATAATTTAAAAAAAAAAAAAAAACAAGAGAAGAAAGAAGTTGGGACAAGAGATTAAAAGAAGAAGCATCAAATCAGTGGTACTTGATTAAAAAAAAAAGGAATAAAAAGTCTAAAATTTTGTAGGTCTCACGTGCACATCTTTTCTCTTCTATGGTGCGAATAAAGGAAGAAAAGTGCTAAAATTTGTTCTCTTTCTCCGTTACTATATCCTTATGAACAAAACATCATTGTAAAACAAATTTATGTTTTTTTTTTCAAAATAATTAATAGTCTTGTAAGAATTTAATAATATCATTTACGATACTTCACAATTATGGTAGTCTTGTAATTGCTCACAAAGTTTTTTTTTTTTTTTTACAACTTAATTCATATCATTAATTAAAAATTGAGCAAGAGGAATCTCATGAATATAATTACGTTTAGTTTAAGAATTGACTACTTTAATTATAATATGAACAACCGAATTTGCTTGACGTTTGACAAATTTTACCTCAAAGTTAAGATAAGAGTGTAACAAACTTTGAATATATTAAATAATACAATTAAATTCGAATATACCGTTATTATAAGTGCGAATAGCTTGAGACACTATTTGAGAATCACATTTGAAGGTAACATTTTCTAAATGCATATATTGCACAAAGAATAGCCTCTTTGAGGGCCAAAACTTCAACCTTAATAATTGAATAGAGGCCAAAATCACAAGCAACACCTACCAAAACAAAGTTTCTAGGATGATTTCTCACGCGCCATCCCCCATTGATAGTCCTTCTAATAATGTTAAAGTATGCATCTATATTACACTTCAACCTTTCTTCTTCGGGCGGATTCCACCTCAAAAGATATTAGTGGATGATAACACTATCCTTACTCTCTTGAGTTGTATATCAATCTGATCAACTATAATAAACCTGTAGACTAAGATTAAACGACTCTTCTGACTCGTTATTTCAAATCAGATTATTACAAAGAATTTAATAATAAAATTAAACTACAAACTTATAAATTAATTATTTAATTAAATTTAAACATTTTTTAAACAATAAGTAATTAAAGTAAATAAAAAATTTAATTCATATGTAATTTTTATTAAATTCTGAATTAAAATTGAAAAAAAGTACATTTATTTTTCTATAAATTTTTAATTTTTTTTGACAAGTTCATAAAATTAAATTAAACATAATAAAATTATATATTTTTATTATAAGCATATTTTAATATTTTTAAAAGTTAAACTCACTTCTTTCTCTTCTATTTATAAAATCAATTCTTCTATTTCTATTATCTTTCTCTTATAACAATTAATACATCAAATCACTTATATTTCTCTCTTTTCACATTCTTTTTCATTTTTTCTTTTTTTCTTCTCACAACCAAACACAACTTAAAAACAATGCGTTTATTTCACATTAGACGCCTCAAGATTTTGAATTGAACACTAGCAATAGCAAGAAAAACATAAACCCCAATTTTCGGCCCTATTCACAAAAGAGAAAACGCTCCAAAAATGTGGAAACTCTCTCGCATGCTTTCTTCTTCATCTTCCAGGTACTATTTCTTCATTCTTGCACTTTCTCTCTCGTTCGCGTAAAACTAATTTCTACTAACAGGAATCACCTATTGGAACTTCTTTCGTCAAGGAAAATCCAAGTTCGGGATTTCTCTACTGCCACAAATCACTATTCTGCTAAAGGTATTCGTTTCTACCCACGTATACCGGTGTTTCCGGTGTTTCGTAGAAATGCAATTTTAAATTAATTAATTTTAAATTTTATGCATTTTTGTAATGAAATTGTATTTAAATTTCGTGAATAAATTGGGATATATCATATGCGTCTCTCTTGGAACTATTGCAGGATATAGTTCGGATCGAATATTTGCTCCTTATTCTGTTTACAAGGGAAAAGCTGCATTTCAACTCACTCCTTGTCTTCCGACTTTCACTAAGTTGGATGTAATGTCCTTTTCATAATCATAATTTATTAACTTGAATATTCAACTTTGTTTTTATTGTGGTATTTACTAATCTCTACTTAATACAGTCTGGGGCTCTCGTGGTTGATCGTCGAGGTTCAATCATGATGAGTTTCGTGCCTGCTGTTGGGGAGCGCAAATATGACTGGGAGAAGAGACAGGTAGTTTCTTTTTTGGTTATCGTCTTGTTAGAATAGAAAATCTGACAATGGAGTAATTAGATAAGCAAACGTGCAAGAACACATCACGAAGGCCGATTAATTGTAGGCGCGTCTTAGATAACAGCGCGCTGCTGCAAATACTTAGGGTTATAGAGTACAAAACTTTGTTTGAATACTGTTAAGAGTCCCACATCGGACAATATATGGTTTGAACACGTGCTTAAAAGTGGGGGCAATCCTCGCTCTACAAGCCTGTTTTGTAGGGTTGAGTTACGCTCAACCATATTTCTTAACAAATACTATGGTCTAGATGATAAGTTTATAGAGTTGTGGGCTACACTTGAGTTTTTACCCCTTATTAGGGGATATGAGCCATGCTCAACAGAGCTTTTCTCCCATCATGCCTCTTTAAACTCTTAAGCGCATTTTATTGCCTCGGGATTAGCCCAACAAGCCTCTTGTGTGGTCTGGAAATGTATAGGTTGTTTGGTAACAGACAATGAGACATAAAATCTTTGATACTCCATTATCTCTCTCACTGATAGCAATTGCATTTTTGTAGATATTTGCCCTATCAGCTACTGAAGTTGGTTCTTTGATAGCCATTGGTCCCCAGGATTCATGTGAATTCTTTCACGATCCCTCAATGAAATCAAGGTATATTTCACAATTCTCTTGGATTAGTAATTGATGGTCAATTAATTATCTCATGAGTGACCTATATAATAAGATCGATTAGAATCACATCACATGAATATTTTTTTAAAATTTTATACCATTTTAAAGTTGGTTAGTAACAGTTTAGTAAGCCTTATGCTGCAGTAATGCTGGTCAAGTAAGGAAGAGTTTATCAATTAAGCCTCATAGCAGTGGCTACTTTGTCTCCCTGAGTAAGACTTGTTTTTCTAATTTTCTCACCTTTTACATACACTGGGTTGCAGTGCACAAATAGTACTAAATTTCTTATGGTTTTGTCACCCTGTTTGGCAGCTGTTGTCAACTCCGTGTTAAATACCAAAGACAATTTCAGTGTTCCTGTTACAACTGCTGAGTTTTCTGTGATGAAGACAGCTTGCAGTGTATGCCTCTTTTCTGCTTAGTTTCCAATAGAATCAACTTAATTATGTTGTTACAGCTTTCACAAGCTATGTGTTTCTGGTTTCTGCTTGCCATATGTATAATAAGAATGATATGGTTATTATCTATTTTCTTTTATCATCATTATCCTTTCTAGCATCGGAAGAGAGGAATTGATTATCTTTTTATTTTATGTGCTGTACTATTTAGCAACATTGGACTTGATTATCTTTTCATTTTATGTGCTGTACTATTTAGCAACATTGGATTCGTCATGAAACCAGTGTTATCAAATGGCGGCGCCATGGTCGCTATGACAGATATACATGGTGGTTTTTGGGCTTGCCATAATGGTAAATATCAGCCGATATTACAGGTTTTTCCGCCATAATCCACTATATCGGCGCCGCAAAACGGCTGGTATCGCAGGATTTTGGCTCTTCACCATGGACCACCATCTACCATCGACAACACTGCATGAAACCTTGGTTGATACATTACCAAAATATCACCAAGCTTGATTCAACATTTTTAAGCCATTAAGTTTAGCGGCTTTCTTTCTGAACCAGCGAATTTAGAACTTCATAGTGCACAGTAGATTTCAGTTTACATTTTTGTATTAGCATTTCGGGACTGGTATGCATGCCATGCCAGGTCTAGTTGGCCAACCACTGTTTTATTTTCAGGTAATACTCGAAATATAGTTAAATCTATATTATTTTTTTGCTAACTATGATTAACTTAATGCACACTTAAGATTTTGGTTCATTCATAATTTAGTAAATTACTGTGGTTTGGCATAATTGAAAATCAACATCTTGAAAACTAGACATGTCATTGAACTGATGAAAACATTGACCATAATTCATTTGTCAAACTGTGGTTCAATCATGACCCCTATCCACAACTAGGGCTGCTGACATCAAGCGTCAAAGTTGATATAATTACACCTTCAATAACATTTTGTAGAATGCGAGTTTAATTATAGTCTTAACAATATCTCATTGATTATGTACATGAGATTTTAGGCTATTATTACTGTTGTTAAGAGTTTGTCGATTTACTTTTTGTTACAGTTTGCATTGCCACACATTATGGGCTGGGATCGTCTAACTAATCAGAAATCCAGTGAGACAGTAAGCTTTCAACCCAATCGGCAGTCCGGTGGGACAGTTAGCTTTCAACCAAATCGGCAGTCCGGTGGGACAGTTAGCTTTCAACCAAATCGGCAGTCCGGTGGGACAGTTGCCTTTCAACCAAAGATGAGCCCACAGATTCTAGACTTGGAATGGGAAAAGTGAATAACTGTAGGAAAATATGAAATGAATCCTTCTTTGTTGTGCTGCAATTCCATTTTGCGTATTATCAATCCAAAGACTAGACTAGGATGGTTCGGGGAAGATAACATGTAAATTGTAATATTTAAGAGACAGGCACGAGAAGGATGAATTATTAAATGTCGACGCTGTTTCACAATTTGTAGTGTTACTGTTATTTTGCTGATGTTTCCTTGTCTGGTTTTCTGCTAAGGCTGCTAAAAGTTAGAACATAACCATCAGCCATATTTGATGGAAACATATTCTGGATGGAAATTTAATGGTAAGTTTTTTAATGTTCATATCCACTCCTTCAGTGTTAGTTTTCTGTCAGACTCTGAATAGATAAGATGCATCATGTGGATATGCAACCTTGTGAACATACTTTTTCGAACTCGATCTCTTCCAAATCATCTAAATATTGAGGCAGTCAAAAGGGGAGATTTTGTTTCTCCATATTTTCTCAACCGAACACTTTGAGTTGTAATCAAAACTCGCACTCGAAGGCTTGCTCTTGGTAAAAAAAAGGACAAAGGAATGTATTAGTAGGTTTAGTTAACTACAGAAATATGTTACAGGTTAAAATTAGAGTTAGTAAGAGTTGTAGCTGGATTGAGAAATTTCTTACATGAATTATGCATTTGCCAATTTTTGAAATTTGGCATGACGAGTTAGCTGAGGCTAAAGAAGAAACAACCTAGTTGGGCATCTCCACCTTTTTTCTGTTGAAGCATCTCTAACAAAACTATTTATGGCGCAAATGAAAGTTGTAATATTTTTCTGTTGAAACATCTCTAATAAAATAAAATTATTTAGGAGATTTCTTAATCCACCCTTGTACCTTTTTAAAGGTTATTGGCGAAATTCTCATAATATTTTTAGAATTCATATTTCAATTTTTTATCAAATAGTTTTGGATATGCATATCCGAAGATACCACACTTTATTTTGGATATGTATATCCGAAATTTATAGAAGCAGTGAATTAACTAAAACTTTTGAAATCAAATCAACTTAACATAGATTTAATATAAATAGTCGAAATTACATAGATAGTTGAACATAAATTTAACATTACATATTGTTATAAACGGGTAGCGGAGGACGTCGTAACATTTTGATAACATCTCCCGATCTTCGAAGCTTCACATCCACTTCAATCGGACCCTTAGTAGAGTATCACAGAAAAGTACTCCACATAACCTTTAAATCGTCATTCGTCTTCAGTTCAAACTTGATGAACTTTATCTTACCTTCAGTGTCAAGTGAGGGTGAACGATACTCGACCTTGGCCACCTTTCGATTTTCTAGATATTGCAAGAGAGAATCCAGTGTGGTAATAAGGCCGACGAAAAACGTGTCCTCGGAGACCCGAAACTGCAGTGGTGACATGTTACCATTGAAGTAGAGAAAAGTAAGGTGAAGATATATTTGACCCATCTCTGTTTGTGGTTTGTAATATTGAAGAAATAGTTTGGAGAACCTATTTATAGAAGAGATGGAGCAATTTAGACCAAAAAATTCTTATCCTGCCACCAACGCATATTTCGGATATAAACATCCGAGTTATCATTTTTTAACATAATTAGGGGGTTTCAGATAGGCATATCTGAAAAAACCCTTATTTTACATTTTTAAAATTGAAGATTCGTTCGGATATGAATATTCGAAATAAACCCATGTTCTGTTTTTTTAAACAGCAGTTATCCGAAATATGCAGAACCAATGGTAAAATCAGTTTTATCTGAACCAATACCATAGAAACGTAGAAAAAATTTAACCAGCGGTAAAATGTTGAATATACATATTATATATGTATTGAATCATATAGATTTTACATCGTGTACGACAGTACATTCAAAAAATGGTTCGATTATATTCTAAAATGCACCGAACGAAGTGTCACTGCTTAAATCTAAAATCGTTTCTTTCTTTGACTTTTTCCTATTTGATTCTCTCTCAAGCTCCATCAATTTGATGAACTCTGCCATCCTTTCTAAAAAGTGATATGGCCAAGTTTTCGCCTTTTTGCAGAATGTGTCGTCCGCTCCACTAATGTAGCCGGAATAGGACACCTGGTTTCAAAATGGCGTGATCTAAGGTACCAAATACAAATGAAGCGACCAAATGGGTCTTGAGGTGGGGGACTTCGAAGCGGAAAAAATATTTCTGAAAAATCATATCTCGTCAAATCGATACACACCCCTCTCATATCTACTTGCTATAAGATGGCTAATTTCAGAGAAGTTCATCCACTTTTCCACTGGTGCGCAAACGCTAACACTTGGAACAAGAGCATTGTGAACTTTATTGAATACTTCCTCGGTAACATATAGTCGTTTGTAAATTTTCCTAGGCACCGTCAACTTCGAAATAAGTGTTTGGCGCACAAGAGTTTGATTCTCCTCTCTTTTACTAAGTAAACCGAACAAGGACTGAAACCCGCAATTACCACCACTCTCTACATATACGATTATTTCAATGTGTTTGTGCATAAAAAGCGGCATCTCATTAATATAGATAATCAGAGGTGGAAGTGGTGGTTTTTTAATTGGAGGTGTATGTGGTTGTATTTAATAGGGGGTGTACGGGGTGGTTTAGAAATACGAGCTCCCTTGAAAACACTTGTTTGTGATTTTGAAGAATCCAGGAATATAGAATCAACAAATTCATAGTAAGACAAAGCCCGCTTTGTTGAATTGTCTTCTTGTGTAATTTTCACCTTTTTTGGGGCACCTTTAGTTTTTGCAGGTTCTGAAGGAGGTTTCAAATCAGTGGTTTCTGGATAGGCGACTTTCCTCAACTGTTCTTTTATGTGCAATCTCATAGTATCCTTCGTCGCACAACAATCATCAAACCAGATTCGTTTCCAATGATCATAGACCTCATCCATACATATGGGGAAATTTAGCTTCATCTTTTTAGAAATGAGACAAGCACATGGAAGCCTGTAAGTTTTCCTAGTTGTACAAGGATTAGCTGTAAAGCGGAAAGCAAAAGTAAGTATTTTTATAGGTTATATCATATCGTCTCCACAAGAATTAGTGCTACTGAATTTTCGTTCGACAGTTTCTCGCATTCATGAGTTTGGATTATGATTGGGTTGGAAGTAAATGCGGGAATTAAATTATTAACAGAAAAATAATTCATTCTTCAGAGAAGAAAATCATCAAGCATGCATATAATCCACTCCTCACAAACTTAAACCTGTCGACCAGTCATACACAACCTACAATACTCATCAATGTCATCACGTATCAACCATAACACCCACTGTATCATCTCGGAGGCGATCTCTCAACCAACCTTAACAATATAGAAGTAAACTGTGCTACTCACGTTACCGATCTCTCAGCACAGCTTAACCAACACAAAGACATTAATCACAAACACCCAAGTGAATAATAGCTCTAAATATATCTCTAGAATCTAGAAATTATTAGATAATCACCTTAGATAAGAATTTGAGCAGTATAAGTCTATAACAATCCAAACCCCAAGCACATAGCAAAAATCTAGGATAACAATCGACAAAGATTTGTAAATCAAGCTTTATATAACGCCATGGACGACAAATATACATGAGTTCAAAGTAAATACATATACAAAACCCAACAAATAGAGAATACACAAAGAAGAAGAGAAATGAACTACAAATCTCCCTGTTTGTCAGCACCGATCAATGAGAAATTCACTCCGAATCATCTGTATGCAAACTTCATTGTTGTTTTCTAAGCTAATCTACCGAAAATGAGTTGATGGGGTTGGGAGAAAAAAAAACCCTAAAACCATAACCTAACAAATAAATGAAATGAAATTATAAAACAAATCTCAGCAGACCGCGTTTAGCGGGCTGACCGCACTAAGCGGGCTACACGATATTTACATACTAAGCCGCCTAAAGCCCTGCTAAGCGGGCTTCAAAATTAAGGTTCTGCCAAAAATTCAAGTTACGCGTAGCGTTCTAGAGAATGCGCTTAGCACACTCCCTTGAGCCGAACTTCTCATCTGGAGCCGTGCCTTCGACATCTTATTTCTTGATGCTCAAAATATGCAACAAATACCTACAAAAGAAGTAAAATCTATCAATTGATACATAAATGAATAAAAATCACAATTATATACAAACTAAACGAATTTACAAACAAAGCGGGGAATTATTCAACGAATATAAAAAAAAAAACTGATAAGTGCCACAAAACATATACACAAAATAACTACATTTTGGCACTTATCAAACTCTCCCCAACTTGAACTTGTTTGTCCTTAAACAAGGTCAAACAAACTTAAAGAAACAAAAGTAATCAACCAAAGAATCATGAATCAACAGGTTTTAAAAACGAAAACAAATATATGGTTCAAACAAAAACGTACACACAAATAAATTCGAAAATAGGTAAAAATCGAGTTTTCTTGGAAAATCGAAAAATCAAGTTTTTTCAAAAAATCAAATATTGAGTTTTTTCAAAAATACAAAAAAATCGAGTTTATTCGAAAATACAAAGTATATTTTAAAAAAATAAATAGATATACTTAAATTAATTTTTTTGGATGGATGGATATCCATCCATTAAAATGTTGTTAATGGATGAATTAGATGGATTTTATTCTTAATGGATGGATTGGATTTGATATTTTTAAGAAAGTTTTAGTGAATTGTTAATGGATTAATGGATTGTTTTGATCCATCCATTATTAATTCAATCCATATCCATCCAATCCATTCATTTTGCCACCCTTAACAATAATAGTAAAATATACATTGCATGCAATAGAGAAACTAAAGAAGAAAAGCCAAAACTATGAACGACTCACTACCAGAATTGCATTTCTGAAAATTTTTAGAAGTGTATTTCCTAAAATTTCCGAAAGTTCATTTCTGATATAAATTTTTTCGTAAAATGGAGCGAATCTCAAAAACAAATGAGTTATATGTGTGTATCGGAAATGCACTTTCGGAATTTGGAGATATTTTTAGATATCTGTCTAGTGCGCTAAAAAATTATAGAGTAGATTAAGAAATTTTCTTTGTAAACTTAAACATTCTCGTTAATATTTTTTACCGCTTATTTTTAAAACATCGGTAAGAGTTTAATTTATAAAACAAATTTAGGATTTAAAATAACATATAAATTGGATCCCAAATTGTATTTCAAAGTTCATTACTTGCAACAACAAACTACTAGAAAAATGTGAAAAATAAATAATATATTGCCAAAAGAAATAGGGGGAAATTAAGCATGACATTTCATAGATTAAACTCCTTCAAATGTTGCCATTTCTAATCTTGTTTTATGCACTCAATAAACAAACAAGAAGGAAGTAAGTGGCAGAAACAAGAACGGAAATGGCTCAATAACAGTATATATTTACGTACAAGTAAAGAATATGTAACATGAAGCTAGCTAGCTAGAGAAATATGACATGAATTTAACTAGCTAATTAAAAATTATAGTACATATATATGATTAAGTACTAGCTAGAATGAAAGAAATGGTAATGATCATGAGTTTGATTTAATAACTTCACGATCACTTGCATTGTGGATTGTTTCCAGGGCCACCATAGTAGAAGTGTGTCCCCCATTTGTTGTTGTAGAAGCTCTTGATATTGTAACAATTTTTGTTCTCAGCTAGGGTTAAGATGTTACTCGCTGACGTGAGACTATTGTCCGTGTCGACGACCTCGAGATTCCTGAAATAGCTTGCTTTTCCAAAGCCATCATCGGCGAAGTGGCCGGATCCCATTTGAGTGGAGGTGTGTTGGCCATTGGCGCGAGAGTTCACAACTTCGCCACCCCACTCTACCATGGTGGCACGGTCGGCTAAGTGCGTGAATAACTCGGCCGGCCAATACCCTACCAATGTGTTGTCACTAAAACGCATCCACCAATTTCCGATTGTTGGATCCTAATTAATGAGTTAGCAATTATAATATTTAGTATAATTTTTTATTAAAATTAAACTATATAAAAAAATAGTATGTATGAGAAATATGAACCTTCCAAATAAGGATAGTAATGTCATATTGTTTGGCATTATAAGAAGAGAGAGGAGAGATGGAAGCTCCAATGGCTATCTTGCTAGTTGTTTGCACAAAACCAGAACAAAGAAGATTGTAGCATCCTGTGGCTTGATATGCATCACTCTGCATGCATGCAAGCTCATTTATAATACTCAATATTCATCTGAGAAACACCGACACAAGAATGACATAGACACCACGTACAACATCGATACTAACACATCGACACCAATAATAATTTAAAAAATAATAATTTAAACGTAACCTCAAATGTGAGTGTTACACAAACCTTTTTCCGAGGTTTCAATCCTAAAGAGATACTCATAAATTGCCAAATACTTATTAAGGCATAGAGAAAAATTAAGATCAAGGAATGCTAACCGTCCAGTAAGTGAATAATCTTGGCCTGCTGTCACCATAAAGCTCCGGACTGACCTGACTAGTACAATTATCAAAACTTCAGAAACTATATATATATATATATATATATATAAGATTGGAGTTAAGAATATATACCTGCCAACCAGCTTCAATGCTGTTAAGATCTGAGCCATCAAAAGATCCAGAAAGTATCCATATTTGAGAAATACTGAATTCATTCACAACTTCTATCATTGGATCCCACACATTTATAGTTGCCTTTGCCCCATACACTTCTTCCCCTGCTTTTGTAAATACTATCGCATGCTACAACACTCAACCAATTTTTTTCAGAATTAATAACAATGCCAAACAATTAATTATAATAATAATAATAATAATAATAATAATAATAATAATAATAATAATAATAATAATAATAATAATAATAATAATCACCTCATGACCATTGCCGCTAACAACATCAGGCGGTTCGCTGTGGCGGTTTAGAAGCGGTGACCGCCGTTGTTTCTTACCATAATCATACAAAGATTTAGCTCTGAGCACATCATGCACCGTGCTCCGCCGTACCGGAACAGTTCCCTTTGGACATCTTGTTCCATTTTGATGCCACATTTGCCATGAGCCACCATTCTTACTACTTCTCTCGTTTATAGACTCTATATTAATATTCATATTCATCTCCTTTGGCATCATTGCTGGCCTTTTCTGTCACATTACAATAATCAAACCAAAATTAATCAAAATTTAAATAAGTAATAATAATTTAAAAAACAATTTAATGGTTAACAAAATAAAAAATATCAAACTTTATATATAAAAAATTAATAACATCAAATTTTAATATTTTCTTCTTTAATACAAAATCGAATGTTTGAATGTGCATCATCTCATTTATTCACCGTTAGAATCTGAGATTTCATCGACTAGACTATAAATAAATAAAAAAAGAAAGAAGCATAACAAACCTGAATTTTATGATTCTTTAAAAGAGGATGATCTAAAGCTGGTTGATTTCTTTTGTGAACACAATCTATGAGATCACCATCTTCACTCTATCACAAGAGATTCAAAACCAAGCATTTAAATTATTTAATCATTATATAAACTAAAGAAAATGAAAAAAACTTAGCTAGGTTTGACACACACAAACATTATAATATTATAAATTAATTATAGTTTTTTTTTAAGAATTAAATAGTAAACTGTTACCTCTATGGTTAGAACAGGAGGCTTATTAATCTTGTCCAAGTGCCTCTGAATTCTTTCAAGTCTCAAAGTACTAACTTGTTTGTACTTGGTGTAGTTTAGGTTGCTGCATTCAACTCTAATAATTGTTTGTAGATGGAAGGTGAACAATAAAGCAAGAACAAGAAGAAGAAGAAAATGAGGAGTTGAAACATTTTCCATAGTGTTTCTCTTTCAACACCAAGAAAAAAATAGGTAAAAAAAGAGCTATAAAACCATTACTAGTAGTACAATCAGCATAAAGAAAATTTAACTTTCATGGACATTTCCATTTTATTACAATACTCAAAAACTTAACACCAAATAATGAAAAAGGAAGTTAAAAAATGACTTCTCTAGAGTTATGAGGAACAAACATAAGAAGATAAAAAATAAATAAAACAATTTTTTTTATCTTTCTCTTTCTCTTTCTATCTTAAATATTGTATTAATGGTGAGGAAAAGATGGTGGTTGAGGTTAATTAAATTGTTAGCTCAAAGAGACCTAGTTGGACTATCATATCATGATTGAATTTTGCATTTTATTCATGAAATAATAACAATAATGGTACATATATGTATGATGATGAATGAGGTGTTTAAATTACACATTGAATATGTGATGCTAGCTGTTGAAGATTGCACAAACGTTAAGGAGATAGGAAGAAAAGAGAAATTTGTGGTTGAAATGGTTGGCATCAAAGATGAAAGATGAAAAATAATGAAAGCATTATAAAAACTCAAACCTACCCAACTAAAAACAATCCCATTTTTTATTGCATTCCTTTAATGTGTATCTGCCACCATACACTTTGCCATTAATGTTTTCATCCAAACACTCTACCCTTCTATACTCTAGTATTTATTCATACTTTCTTTCCTTTCTCCATAGTATTATTACTACCTCTTTCCTAATACTTGATCCTTTCATTTTTGGTAACACATGTTAAGAAATAATAATAAATTTACAAAACTAGAGATAGAGGTCATTGATGTCAAAATTTTTATAAAAAAATCATGTAAAAAATTATACTGTATTTAGTTTGTTTATAAATATTTATAAAGTTAAGTATGAAGACAAAGCTACTTAATGTATATGAAGAGATAGGTATGAAACTTTTATATACTCTCGTGGTGTCAAACTTCAAAATGATAGAACAAATTATTTATTATATATACAAAGAAAAAAGCTAATATAATAAATTTAAAATTTAAAATATTTTTTCTAATGCAAACACAAAAATGTGTAATTACCAAATTTTTTATAATTTATTAACCATAAAAATGCATTTTATTAACAAATTTTTAATATTAAAGTAGAAACCATTATAATTATATATATATATATATATATATATATATATATATATATATATATATATATATATATATATATATATATATATATATATATATATATATATATATATATATATATATATATATATATATATATATATATATATATATATATATATATATATATATATATATATAAAAGATAGATGAGCAATAAGATGCACCGCAACTCTTAAAAAGTTAAAAAAAAAGAAAATATCACAAAGTATGATAGTAATTAGAGCACCAAAAAATGTATAATGATTATAATTTTAACTAGTTATAAAAATAAAATAAAATAAAATGAGAAACAAACAAACAGAAGATAAAAAGAAAAGTAAAAGTAAGAACCATAACAAAAAAGAAACATACAAATAGAAGACAAACACTTTGGCTTAAATTCTTTGACAAAACAAACTTTTAGAGAGAGTAAGCTGGAAAAAAAAGGAAGCCCCAAACACCTGCACAAATCAAAAGGAGGACAGTTGTCTACCTAACACACCCTTAACTCCCAACCACCAAAGGAGATCTCACTACCACTCTATTAGAGAAATGACAAGACCCAAAATATGTGTTTGAATCCATTTTTAAGTCAAGATAATAAGCATAGACATCCAGTGTTTAATCGTCAAGTTTTCCTAGTAAAAAATAATGTTGTTTCAAAATAATCCAGACCATAAAATGCCAGGCTAAGACCAAGCATAAAGACAATTGTTTCTCAAGACTAAAACCTTGAACCAATTCAAAAATCCCTAAGATTGAGAAAGGCAAAGTCCCCAACAACCCAATCCACCTAAAGACTATATATAAAATGTCAGAAGCAACCTCACACAAAACAAAGAGACGCTCCTTCAACCCAACTTATCTATCACACAATGAACACCCTTCAAAACTAGACTCAGACATAATGTTACGTTTCAAAAGGTTTCACCTTATGGGCAACCTATCCTAAAGCAATTACAAAGAGAATACAACTACTTTAAAAGACGCTAAACTCTTCGAAATCTAAGAAAGCCCCTTCAAAACCCTCTATAACCTACCTTTTCTGGCCCAAAACAAAAGTGTCATAAGCAAAACTAACCAAAAAACACCTAACCTAATATGGCTTCCAAATCCATACATCTTCCTAGCCACGCCTAACAAAACCAAAATAAGAACTACCAAATCCTTAAGCATCCCCTCCTCCCACACTCTAAAAGACCTTTTTCACTAAAATTTTAAACCCAGACATTCCTTTTCCAAGCACCCATAGAACCCACCACATGCTTATTTTTCTTCGAGATGAGAAATAACCTCTCGAAATCCACACATAGAGGATAACTCTTACCTAGACATCATGCCAAAACCTAGTCTTTTAACCATTTTTTGTTCCTTTTTGGATTTAATTTATTATGCAAACTAATATAGTGTGTTCAAGTTGTTTTTGTGAAGAAGGACACATGTGGGAACTGAAGTTTTTTGTGAATTTGTATTTTAGATTGACTGCATTTTTGCAAAACACAACATGGAGAAGTGTTTAAAGTGTTCAAGTTGATCCAACTTGCTTAAACTATATGGAAATGCAAATGAGACATATGTTGGACATGATATCTCAGCGTGTGGTACGACATCTGAGCCTTTGCTCAATAGACAAGATTGCAACATTTTTGGAGTTTGCTCTGCAGAAGATTTGTTAAAGCTTTTATTGTTATTGATTTAACAATATGATTAGGTGATTTGTTTGACAATTGAATGAAGATTAATTCATATTTAAATGGAGATTTAAATTTGAATTTAAATTGAAAAACAAATCATATATTGTTGGAGAGAATCAAGGAACAAATAATATCCAATAGATTCTCCATTAATTCTGGACAAAATCAAATACCCTTGAAGAAAAGTTCAGAAAAATTATGCTATATAAGGAGCTATTTCCTAGCTTTGGAGACACGAATCATACATTGAAGATCTTAAAATATGTGGGTTGGGTCTAACTCAACCCTACAAAACTGGCTTGTAAGATGAGGATTTCTCCCACTTATAAGCACATGTTCAGATCATATATTGTCTGATATGGGACTCTTAACACCCCATTTTATGCCCAGGATTGAACGTCCATAGCATGAGATTAAATGACGGGTGGCCTGATAGTGGAAACCTGTTTCTAATGACAGATCAATTTCAACATGTTTTTTTAATGATTCCTAAAATCTCTAATGCAGAGGAGTGCCACAAGACAAAAGAATATTGTCCAATATACCAAGGTGCTCATTTTTAGCATTTTGACATCATGCAAAATCTTTGATGGAGAAGTTGTACTCACAAAAACCCCTTCTTGATTTTTTATAAAAATAAAGCAGCAAAAAATCAAACAATATTCAACTATAATGTCTCATAATAATTATAACTCAAAATCAAGTATAGGGAAATTAATCCAACAACTAAAGAAAAATAGGAATACAAGCAAAACAAAGTTATCATGTCCATGTGTTACATATTAGAGCGACGCACATGAATACTAAAAATCACTTGAAAAGATAAATAAAGAATAAGGCAAGTTATGGCATTCCTCAACAAAACAATAATTAATGCCCCTCTACCTAATTATTTGCAACACCGACATAACAAACAACACAATAGCAAATAGGGAATGAGAATAAATTCACATATGTTATCGGTGTATAAAATAGAAAGGATAATTTTCAACAACGTTATTTTTCACACACACACACACACACACACACACACACACACATGTGTGTGTGTGTGTGTGTGTGTGTGTGTGTGTGTGTGTGTGTGTGTGTGTGTGTGTGTTCAAATTCACAACAAGAAACACTCACAATACATATAAATAATGTAATGTACTTCTCCTTCAAATGCATGTGGTACCAATGTTTGGAAGTCCGAGTTTTTTAAGTGATTTATCCATCGTCTCTAACATACATGAATGCATGAAATACTACAATAATTAGTGGTGTTCAAAACCGAATCGGCCCAATAGAAAACTGCTAACTAAACCATAGCAAACTGAAACTGTAAAAAAGTGTTTTTACTTCAGATGCGTTTGAGTCATTTTTAACAAAACCGAGCGGTTCGATTAGATTTACAGTTTGTATTTTACACACTGAAGCAAACCGTATTATGTTTCAATTCAAACTTCACTTAACCCAAATCCAACCAAACTGAAACCTATTATGCCTTAGCCTTACGATTAGGGAAGATTTTCTCTTCCTTACACTTAAGGTTTCAGTTTAAGTCTTCTCAAATCTCTTTTAGTAGTATCACACCTTCTTCACATATTCTTTTCCATGTACATCTCGCTTATTCTTCTCTAGCCTTTCATCTCTTATGTTTATTCTTTTTCATATTCTTATTTTTATTCTACCGTTCTCTCTTCCAATTACGTTTTTAATGCACCTCTTGTTCTCTAATCTTTCCTTTCCTCGCTCTTTCTTTTTCATCTTCTCTAATATTTCATCTTCACTATTTTTTTTGTTTCATTATAATGTTTTTAATATTATTTTATGTTATTATTTTATGTTTTTTATTCCACTTTCTCTAATCTTATTTTTGTATATTAAATGGAAAGTTATTGTCAAAATATGATAAATTTTGTTGTTATTTGATAACGGATAAATGACTAAATACAAAGTTATGTTATCATCTATATGTGTATGTATGGCTCAATGATTTTTTTTTAAAAAACTGACCCAACCGAACCAATTCAAAAGCGCATTTGTTTGGTTTGGTTTGGTTCAGTTTTATTTCTAAAAGCAAACTGAACCACACACTTTTTCTCTTGCATTTCATATGACTTTTCACGTCAAAACTGCCTCAACTGCATCGCGATCACCCCAACATCAATA